GATTCGCGCTGCAATCAAGCGTTTATTTATTAATTAACGGCAGCGCTGTTATTTCAGCGGCGTGCAACGGGCTGACCGAAGTATAGTATAACTATTCTGATATCAGCTGGGAATTATCATGGTAAACTAAGAGAACCAGTTTGTAACAACGACTTTTTGTTCGTGGATAAAAATGTCCACAGTTTATCATCTCTGATGAAAATTATATTCAAAACAATTGTCTGATAATTCTTCAAAACGGAGTAGTATATCGTTAAGGAAATCTGCCGATTTGTACACACAATCTCTCCCTTCGTTGGAATTGAAAAAGTATCGAAGGGCGAGGGTGGTTGGCAGAAGAACGTCGAGGATGTCGATACAAGAGTCATTTCAGACGCAGACGGCGATGACTCTGGGCCGAGGGAGAGTCTTGAGAAAGTAATTCCTTTGTATGGCGAGCAAATACACCGGGAGAGCCACTTAACATCGCCACTTACAGCGGCGACCCTTTTATCGTCCGCGTTCCTACACGCACCCGGGGCGAATGGAAAAACTCGTTCGACGCGAGAAACTTTACGTTACGATTCGAATTCCCGCGAAAGCTTCGAGATCAAGGACGATGGTCGATGGTACTTTAGAAATTGTTGCCTCGAATCGAATTTAGAGCGGCGAGAGTCAAGGGAGTGGTGGCAAAATTTTGTCGTAAATTGCTTGTTGGTTATGGAAATTGGTTTTCCAGCTGGTTACCACTTTGCTCCGCTTTCGTACACAAGTCCGCGTTTACCGAAGACGGCGAATCAACATTTTTGCAATGCGTTGGGTAAACTACCTGACAATCAACACCAACAAAAGATATACGTCAATGTTTGGAAACTCGTTGAGTAACATGAATTTTGAAATAGCTTATCTTTCTCTAAATTATGTTATCAAAACTCGATTAGGAGTTGTGTCAAGAATATTATAATTAATGAAGTTAAATTGAACGCACCTCGTAGATGTGATCAAAGGGTTACAGGTCCTCTCGTACATACGTTTCATGCATATTCATGCACATTCAATTGAAACGTAAGGACGAGTTCTCATTCACAGATCGCTTCCTGTCACGTCTGCCAGCAGCTCGAGGGTGTGTTCCCGAAGTGGCAAATTAACACGAGAGCAGGATCCCGGCTGAGCTTCGACCATTCGACTAGCTGAAGCAAACTTTCGTCTCACTGGAGATGTCTGGCTTTCTAAACTTACAAATCCGACTGTTGGGTTAAACACTCTTGTTTCTGATACTTGCTATTGGATCGCATCCTAAATAAATAAATTCATTTATAATAATATGTGAAAATGTTTTTAGCTTTCTATCGACAATCATAAAATTTCAGTAGAAAGATTTTGTTTTAGTCAGCCCTGAAGCTTGTTTGTCCTACGATTACTCGAGCCTCGAACATTTATTAATTATATATAAAATTAATTTCTGTTCAGTCTTCCTGTTTACTTGAACAATCAATTAACTGGCTAAAGTGTTTTACTTTCTATTTTATAGTTTCTAAAACTGATCACATTTGTACTTGTAATTTCTCTCGAAAACCTGGAGTCGTACGATCGATCCATTCGAGGAGGATTTAAAAATTCTAGTTTTACCGGTGTACCGTGATGTTGTAGCCACGTTGCAAAACAGTAACAGGAAATTGGAAAATTTGGGAACAAGTTTGGGCGAAAATGGGAACAGGGAAACGATTAGGTACGCGTTGCGTTCCATCGGTTTGACGCGAATCTGGATTCTCTTTTCCAAAACGCGTACGCGGCGCGACGAAGTCGACATCGGCAATGAAAACCGGGTTTCCGCGCAACAATGTGCCGCGCGGGCTTTCAACGGCGCCGGTGAAACGGGAGAGAGCGTGAAAGCTCTCTCCCTCGTTGGGGCTTGTCGTTTCCCCTGTCGCCGTATGTGCACGGGGATGAAATCAATAACACACCACCACCACCGCACCTGCGGGTACAAAGCGGTGCGGTGTATCGGGCCCGGCCTTATGGCGCGTGCCGTGTCACGGTGTTAACTCGTGTATCGAACAGCGAACTGACGTGCCGCGCTGGCCAGCTTCTTTCCCAATCGCGTTTGCCGTACGGCTTGATCGTAATTTGATATTCGAATTAACGTTTTCTCGGCTTGTAACTCCGTTTATTCGATTCAGCGGGCTTTGCGGCGAACGCTCAAACGAATTCCACTGGCAAAAGCTACTCCCGCTACGATCAAATAAGTTGATATCATAAATGAGAATTCTTCTCGAACGATATGAGCTCGAATATCTTTCATTTGTAAAAATACTTGCTGAATCTTCTAATTATATTATCGATACGAATGTCTATCTACACAAGTGTCATTGATTACATTTTGAACAATTTTAACGAGATTAGCGGAGCTATCTGGAAATTAACAATAGCGAATCCGAGAAATAATCAAACAGCCACGTCCGTCGAAGTGTCAGCCTAGTTGAAGCGAAAAGCGAACGGACAAACGAGGTTCTCGCGGCAGATTTCGCCGTCCAGAATAAACGTCCATGGAAAGAGAGGAGCGGGTGTCAGCCCGGGCGACAGCTCGCGCTCCGAAACTGTCATCCGGGGAAGTTTAAATGGTCGGACCGGTGAATGTACCGGCGGACCGCGAATCACCGAGCCCGCGTTCGTTAAATTAACCCCTTAGGCGTTATGGCCCGCGCAAAACATTTTACGGGTTTCTAACAAACGCCAACTCCGTCGCGTTCTTCAATGGAACGTACTCCATTCTGAATTATTTCAAACAAGTCGCTTAACAAAATATATAAAAAATTATTTTTATATTTGAAAGAAGACTTACATTAGTTTAGAATTCAGAGGCTCATTGCCTTTCGTAGCTACCGTTCCTGATAAGAGGTCGGGGATTTTATTATAATAGTAATCGCAGAGATTTCGCAATAATTATCGACGTACATATGCCGTGGCGGGTAGCGAGGAAACATCGGGGATCCGGTGAAAAATATCGCTCGTTAAGCCGGAATTCAATTCGACCCGGGAAGAAATTGAAATGGAATCTCCTTTATTTTTGGATTTAGAGGGATTCACGAAGATAAAAATGGAGGATGCTCGGTCGGTTGAAAGTTCTAGCCACGATGCTGATACCGCGCTTTCCGTACTACCGATCGATACTCTGGTTTTACGTTGATCACTATCGGAATGCCACATTCCTTAGGCAATTTTTATTAGAAACAGCAAATTGATCGAAATTTAGGAATGATTATTTATTTAATAATGAACGCGAATGATTGAACAGGTTTTCTCTTTATTGCAATGGAACTCATCAATAATGATAAGCGCAAATAATGCATTTGCCCTGATGAAACCATTCCTTCACGAATTCTTTGAAATTATAAAAACTGCAATATTCACTATGAAAAATTGTTTTAGGGGGGATGGAATCGAACGTGGCTAGGCATTGAGACGCGAGCTCAGTTCGGTCCAGCAAGGATTCAATCTAGCTGGATTATCCGAGCGTCCATCGACGTCCCATCTAGCCACGATCAGGAGTTGCCTGTGTCAACTTCAGCTACCTTCCCAGGGACTATCCTAATACTCGACTTCCGGTTGCCACGGGGAAAATGAACCCCCGTCGGCGACGTACCTACCCACCGTATTACTTATACTAGGTAGTTAGGAGTGAATTCCGGAGGATCTCGATGTCCCGCGATAAACTTTATGGGTGTATTTTATCGTCGCAAGGGTTGCCCCCGGCTTGCTTGTTCTACGGAGTGTTGGTCGCGGGAAATGTGGTCCACGGTTCCGCTAAAAACGTGGAAAACCGTGTAACAATCTGTACACAAGTTTTATTTTACGGCTGTTTTAAGAAGATTTAACCATTTTTAGTACTACGCGAGAAATATTGTTGAAGTTCGCAGTATTTTACGAAAATTTAACATTGGAAAGTTGAAAGTTTCGTGATAATCCACCAGTGAATTCCTATGAGAAGTTTGAAAATTTGGTCCCGGCGAGCATCGGAAACGAACTATCGCACCGGTGGACGTGGATTCCGTGCGGTTGCGCAAAGTGTTTCGATTAAAAAGCGTTTTGGTAAAAGATTTACGGCCTGGCGAGGTCTTTTTGCACTCGGGCAACGAGATTCCTCCGTCTAGTAACGGCGGTAAAGTTGAGATATATGTGTACCTTTTCGCCGCCGGCGCATACAAATCCGCCGTTTGTTTCCTGTCCGCTTCTTCTTATTGCGGAAGTCGCGACCGTGAAACCAGAGACTACGTCCTTTTTAGGACGAGCAATTATGCACCGAAATGTACAACTAAAATAATTGTCCAACAAATAAAGCTTCGAATAGTAAAACATCGTAATTCGTTTTTTAGGTTGAACGATTATACCTGGAGCAGAATGGAAACAAAACAGAATTGCAATGCCTTGATTTGTTCTGTTTAGTGGGAAGCGTATGTCTTTGTCGTGGCTGAAAAATTTAATTCGCGTCATATGCATAAATAAACGAGCCGCGTTTGTGCACAGACAGATTTCGTTCATACTGACGGCCTTTGTACTCGGATATTTATCATGAGAACCATTTGATTCGTACAACCTACGAATTTTATTTTAGCGACACGGCTTTTCGTTCAAGCCTATTTTAAATGCTCTGAACGTTTGCTGCGTTTTATTATATGTATAGTTGCATAGAAAAACCAGTGAATGTCCAATATTTGTGCGCATCACAATTTCTATGCACCGGCGTACTTTTTCACGATTTTATATGTTATGTTAGAATTGGGATTCAGATAATTCCTTCGCTTTTTTTTTATAAAAATATTCGAAGAAGAATTGTCATAGTATTTTGATTTCTCTTTGCTGCTTTTGCATTCACGGTTGAATACACGGTTTTAATCGCTCTCGAGTGTCTTCGTTGTTCTCCGCTATCTCGTTCGCGGTTCACCCCAGAATTAATTACAGTACCAATCAACCAGTGCTCTCGCCTAGCGCGATGTCTAAAGCCTTGTATTCTCTGCTTGCAGAATCGAGCTCCGTCATCCAAAGATGATTCTCGCCGGAAAGAGAGATTCTCTTAGTGTCGACGTCAGTCGTGTGAACGACGGAGAAAATTGGACGAATACCTAATATGGAGGAGGAGGAGGAGGAGGAGGAGGAGGAGGAGGAGGAGTAAACCTCAAGAGAGAGAATTGGATAATTCGTCGCGACGGAGGGACTTGGCGTCGGAGGATCAGTGAGATGCTGCCGGGTACACTGTGAAAACATGTTGGTGGACGATTGCGGGAGCACGATGGGATGGACTACGGGCAGCGTGCGCGGGGGCTGGTCCACCCCGGGCGGCTGCAGAAACTCCGCGATGAGCTTCGGTGGCAGCGTGCCCTCCCTCCATCCCGCCGGCTCGGTCAGATCGCTACGGTCCCAGCACTCGATGCAGGTAATAAAACAACCTTTTTTTCTCCTGTCGACGAGTGGAAACACTCCCGTTTCAGAATCAAAATTTGTCAAACGCATATCGTTCTCATCTCGATACTCGGACCTGTTACGGATGTTTTAACCCATTTGCATCATTAGCGTACGTAGGTTAAATCGATATGCATATCCAATAAGGTAAATGTTCCAATTTCTGATCACGACCCAATTTCTATGTACTCGCTGGCTTATTTTCGTAACATTTTAATGCGACAGAAAATTGTAGAAATATACGTCAATGATCAGAAATTGACACATTACCATGTACATTACCATTTATAGCTGGTACTATATGACGATATGACTATGTTAGCTTTAAATAGAATATTCTCATCCAATTATCTGTTCAGCTAATACCTTCGGTAAACTGGTTGGAATCAAGAAAAGTGATAGAATTTCCGTTCCTGTAACGATGACTCGATTATCGTAGAAAGTAATGTTGGCCCACTTTAACGGCGAGAATTGCCCGGCAATGTTCATCCCCTAATCAGTATTCCTCCCCTCTCGTCCCCATCAATAAATGTCCGATGCTTAATTTCCAGGTTACGTGTCGCGATTTATCGTAGCCGCGAACGTTCACGCACGTTCACGACTCCTGACTAGCATTACCTTCTTCGATGCATTGCAGGCGTTTCTTTTGTTCAGGGAGTGCCGGAGACACCGCGAAGGTGCATGCACTGCCATCCGGTACACATACCGAGCACACCGAGCAATTACGTGCATCATCCCATGCAGTATTACACGCCGAGCCACTACCCCGAGCCCAGGAACGGCGTGTACACCCCTCATCGAGGCAGTTCTTATCACGGTGGTGAGTTAACGCTTATCATTCGAGTTAAATTGAAGTCAAATCGGATTGCAATTAAATCTACGCAGAGACAGTCTATGATTTTTAGAGGCAGCTGTTTTCATTGGCCAACAAAAATATAAGTGTGTTTAACAAGTTGGTTTCTTGTTATCGAGTCCGATAAATCCTTAGAATCACCATTAACCAACGTTTTCTGAGTATACATTTAAGCTTTTACTACTCTGAGATTATCCCGAAGCTTACGATCCTAGAATGTATACGTAGCTACCTCATCTTATCTTATCCATTAATTATTCCAGACCCTTATCCATTAATTATTCCAGAGGCACGTCTATTATTTATTTATTGCACGAATTTGCATTTTATCCCATGTCGCGCTATAAACAGAATTAGCCAGTTTTCATATGCAACAGCAATCTCCATTCCTAAATGAATGTTGCCCGTTTATAAAAATTTATGTCTATCGCGAAACGATATTTCCTCTCCAGGCTGTTTTGCCGAATGGGGTTTAATTTATCTCGTCGTATGTGTTTTTTGCATTTCATTTAATTTCGACCTCGGGAACATCGCTCCTTGCGCGGATTGCACAAGTTTTCTCGTAAAGCCCGCGACAAGAGCGATATATCCCACCGTTTCCGGGTAAACTCGTTCATAATATCCAGGCCGTTCCTCTCTGTTTTCGTTTCAAACACGAAGACGTTCCTCTCTAAGAGACCATAAGGAGACCGCGGTCTAATCCGTTTCTAGCAAATTTCCAGTGAGACTCGATGCAATATTCAATAGCAAATACGATGGGGCGGGTTGGTATATTTCATCGCGTATTGGATTACATTTTATTGCAAGTTGATAAATGGAATTTATTGAAAAGAATAATTTACATGTTATTTATATCATAGTTCATCACATGTTATTTACTGGTATTCATGCTATCCAGGCTAAATCAGTAAGAACAATTAAAAATTTATTATGATTTGTTCAAACACAATTTCAATGAACTCATCAAATATAAAATTCGTAATAAAGTATTATATCTTAATACGAAAAAATGATCTATTACTTTTATGTGAACATTTAATTCACTTTGTACATACTCACTTCTGTATAAATAACTTTATTCAAGAGAACAACAGTTACTGTTAGTTTGTCGTAGTTTGGTACGAGTGTTCTCTTAGATCAACTGCTAGTACTACGTTTATTTCTTCTTTCTTGTTCTATTATCTCGAATAAAATTAGTTGCACCGTTTGATGTGTAATTGCAAGCGGGGGCGTTTATCGTTTAAAGGCGAGTCTTTTCAAAGGCACTGAGTTAGAATCGATTCTCCCTTGGCTTCTAATTTATTAAATTTAACTACTGCGAGTGAAAACGCAACGAACTCCAGTCACGCCACAAGAAAACTACAGAACAATTTATATTTTCAATTTATTTCTTGAATACTGCAAGAGTTTCAATCTTATTTTCTGAAAAGGATAATCCCGCAATCAATTTTCCAAGCTTGATCTTTACCCTTGGATTATTTCCGCGATACGAATTGTCAGGGTATTTCTGGATTTCCTAATCTGTCCAGACTCGCTCGTTTCTATTATCGTCACCGGATAGGGAAGCGTGTGTGATAACGACGAGTTCATAAACTGTAACAACAGCGTCGTTATCCTCTGGAAAGCAGTAGTGATTCGAGCGAAAGTAAGTTCAGATAAATCGGGCCGGGATAGCTGGGATAGTTATATACTATATCGGCGGACACACTGCTGCTGGATTACGCTCTGCCCTACAAAACGACCGGATGAGAACAACATTTGTTCCGTCCGCGTTGTAATCTCCTTCGAGTCGGCGAATCAACCCGGCTTTGTATTTCTTCTATTATAATCCCATAACTCTTTTCTGAATAACGCTCTTAACAAAAGTACGAGCGGGCAGCTCCCGCAATTCAATCCATTTACGTTCTCTTACGATTTTATTATAAATAACGTCCTTAGATCTGAACAAAGCTGAGAGGTGAGGTAGGACGATCTCATTCTGAAATTGTACTATACAGGACGAAATTTACGCGAGGAATAAAAAGGCGATAGGAAAATCGATAAAAGTTGGTAGGTATCCGTTTACAAAGCTCGTAAATCTTCATGACCCGGGCGAAGATCCACCCGTCACGAAATTCTACTGTATAGGTACGTGGATGAAAAGGAAGCGGAATAAAACAAAATAACCGTTTGGAAATTTCATCGTCGCTCCCGAGCAACACAGCATACGTTCTAATAAAATATATTTGCGAAAAATTCAAGTGGCCGCGGGAAAAAAATTTGGAGTTATAACTCAACAAGTTGACGTCCGCAAAACCGCCGTCCGAAAATCCGCAGGGAAAAGAGTCAAACGGTGAAAAAAAAAATAAATGCGCCGATCGATTCCCGGTCGCATGACCGCAACTTCGACCGCTGGTCCGCGCTAATTCGGGGTGGCATCACGCCACCGCCGCCGCCGCCGCCGCCGTCGCGCCGTTTAGCAGATGTGAAAGAGTGATCGCATTTTTGCGAATTCGCGTTACGGATAAACACGATGTACAAACTCTGCTCGGATCGTATTTGCATGGCCAGCCTCGCGTTGGTCAACCGTGAGAATCGATTTCGAATCGATTCCACGCATTACCGTTGCTCACCCGCATTATGTAGATAACGCGATTCCTGACGAAAAACACCCGGCCCGAAAACTTTCCGATTTTTCGCTCGGTTTGCTCACCGATCGCTTTCCACAAATTGCTTTTTTAAAACCTTGTTTCGTATACGGTTTCAATACCGGATAACCGTGGTATCTGCAAATAAAAGTTACTCGTACGTAATTCTATATAAAAATTGTTAAGCCTCACGAACGAAGTTTGAAGAATTATACGAACGGTCGTCTTATTCCATTTCGCGAAACGCGGCAGAGAATATCGAACAGCATGCATACATGTTTTCGTTCCAAAGAAAAACAACGAACCCGATTGAAGTTTGGTTGAAATATGGACGGCCGCGAACGGGAGATTTGTCATAAATCAATCTGGTAAAAGAAGGAGGAGAAACAAACACGCTGAACCTTCGAAGAGATAGCGAAAAAACCGCGAGGTCGAAATATTCTGAAGCGAGCGGATGATTAAGCTGTGTTTTTAGTTATAGACGCGACCTCTGAACTTGTTTTCCCGGGGAACACATGCTCTCAACCAGTTTTCCATTGTTTTTCACAAAACTCGGTGCGTTATACGTTATTATCAAGCATATGAATTTTAGTCATGCACTTCGAACGATTCGCAAATTAATTTCAATTTAATTGTACACACATTGTACTGTTTATATTTATTATCGCGATTAAGCATATAAATTCTAATCATGTTTCAAAAACGACTCGACAATTGAAATTCATCAACATGCACGAATAGCATACTATAATATTCCCCAATTTATCTCTATTTAATTAAACGCCTCGTTTGACCAAGCGCGCGCTATACTACTTACGCCCGCCTTGTTCATATTCCTTCAGCGAGTTCTTTAAAGGAAACTCTTTAAAAAATTAAAATTTCGTGCCACATAAAACATAACTCGTCTCGTGTACGGCATATCTTTTAAGCTGTACGCAAGGATAAAGGGGAAATTAGAAAATTCACAACGCAGCTCCTTCATAAGTTTTGCATCAAAGAGAGGCGAGTTATGGTTGCCACGAGGTCTTAGCAGACGGGGCCATCGTAATTCTTTTCATGGCAATTTCGCTGGTCTACAATTCTCCCTGCGGTCCCCTTTCCACGCGAACTCTCTCTTCTCCGATCTATTTTTCATCAACAGCGAAAATGGCACTATTCTTTCCGACGGCGACGCTGCTAATTAACCTTCCTGCTTTACGAAAAACAATCGACACAGCTATGAGAAAATAATTAATTGTATATAAAGTCTTGTAGAGAAATAATTAGTTAAAAATTTTTAATAAACCGACGACAGAATTGTTCGGGCTTTCAAATATTCGTCGAACGGTGTGGAACTAGCCGACGGATAATTAAATAAAAGAGATCTTAAATTGTACTCGCATTAACATTGTAATAATATCTACCGCGGGAGAAGAGCTAGTATTATTTCAAGTCTCGGCTAGTAAAGTAATTAAGTGTAATACTAGGTGGTTGCCGGATCCCGGAAATTAATTACGAGTGTTAATTAATTTTTAGATTCTACGTTCGCGATTCGAAAAAGGGGAGGAAAAAAGGTAAACGAGACCGCGAGAAAAATTATTATATGCGCTAGCTTCGAGGCTTTTATTCCTCGGAAAAATAAGCCGGGGCCAAGGAACACGGACGCGTAGGTTTAAGCTTATTCCTTCTTTTATTTTTGCAAATGTACTGGTACGACGTCGCGCAGAGTGAAAAAAGGTTTCGGCGAACCTGGAAAAGATCATTTTACACAGCCGGTAATAAAAATGCAAACAGCGAGCGTCGCTGAAATTCTACTTTAAATTCCTTAAAACTTCATTAGCTTGCTAAAGACGAATTTCGCGTGAAACTTTAGCTGTTTGCGGAAACTTGAACGTTGTACGGTGTAATTAAGAGTGTGGGGAGGAAACGTTTAACAATGGTGGCGCGAAGAGTCACGGACTGGAATTAAGAATGCGTGTCACGTCTTACTCTAATTTTTGTATTCACTCGCGCTTTGATCCGCGCTCTTTCAATATTTCTCCAATCCTTCGTTCTCCTCTCTGCACTTTTTCCCTGCCGCTTCACAAAGGCATTCGAATCGACGTTAAAAAATTGGTTCCTGCGGTGGAAAAATAGTTGGGAATTCGAATCGTGAGACTCGGCTATCCACCCACGCCCTTCGTTTCGCTTCGTTTCGTCCGCTGTAATAGATTTTTTCAATATCACGAGATATGATTTATGCGATGCAAAAATATAAAGTGAGAATTCTTGTATCAGATGTGTAACAGTCAAATTTGCAATTCTCTCTGAGAGATTTATTACACGTGTCTTTATTCTCACAAAAAAGATTTGAGATTGAATTTTATATTTGTGAAATATTAATTTGATTTTTTGTGAAGCTTCACAGGAATACTGGGTGAGAAAGGACATTTTCCAAGATATCTCACGGCGATGGTTCTTCGTTTGAAAATCATCGACCCGTTTTCTCGAACCCTCGACCGGAGGTCTGTCGCCCCTCGTTCTCACCCCATGGCGAGTAGCATCTCCTTTTCATGAGCACTTTTATCTAACCCCCTTGACTCTTCTTTTTCCTCTTCATTTCTTTCAACTCGTTTCATCCCCGTGCCGCAGTGGTCCGGGGATGCGATGCTGCCAGACGAAACCCTCGGGCGAAACATCGTCGTGTCGGGATCAATTTTATGGTACGCTGAAAAATATTCCAGCCTGCGAATTAACTATTTTTGTACAGATCACGGATCTAAGAGAAGAATTGCTCGCATAATACTCTGATCCCGAAAATCCTAATGATTCATGTCGACGACTCCGGGGAGTGATAGAATTTAGTAGGTTCCGTGAGCAAATCCGGAAGACGTGGATTTCCCAGTAGTGACTATTCAGGCTTATAGGATTCGGCAGTGATAATTTCGTGATCATAGGACTACCTCCAGCGATAATTCTAGGATCACAGTGCTCCTTAATGATAGTTCTGGGATCCTACCACTGGATAAGGCTAAATCCAAGATCGTGGAGTAATATGACAGTCCCCATTCGATAATACTAATTGCAAAAATAAGAGCAAACTGCACTAACGGAATATAACGAGAGAGTGTGAAAAGATCTCTCTTTCAAGATTTCATCATATGAACAATGAATGATCTCAATTATTGCAAGTCTAATTTATTACCAGAATTTAACGTGGCGAAAGTATTTGGGAATAGATATGCGACGGCATGAACGAAATTATTCAATTCACGGATGATAATCAACTTCTCTAATCGACTTGAACCATGTTTCAATTAAGGGAGTTTGTAGCGTACAATAAACAGCGTTTATCTTTATCGTCCGGCTTTAGGAAGCACAAAACGGGTCGCGGCGTAAATTCATTGTTCGCGTCTGCTAACCGTTTCTCGGTGTAATTAAGTCCGGCAAATATATCGTCGAATTACGCAAAAACAACGTGCTAAGTTAATCCGCGCGCGAGCCTTCTTCATTTGCATCGAATGCATCGGCCTTGCCTTCTACCTCAATTATTTCCGTTATTCGCAGATACTCGAATGCGTTACATGGACTCGGAAGGCAGCATCCACGATGGTCTGATCGGAAACAACAATTGCATGCTTGGAGAGGCGAGGAGTCTTCATCGTTGCGTACCCGTTTTTCGTCGACCTGGTAATTTTATAATAAATACGCAGTGACAACGGTGGATAGCGTAACTCTTAAATAATTTCGTTTCCATTAATTATAATCAATTCGTGAATTAAAAATTGAAACCCACTAACTGATGGTACAATCAAAAACGTAGTGATTCTACATCGAGAAATTAGATGAAAATGTAGAATTCAATCTTTTCGTATGTGGCTTTGTTTGATCGAGTTTAAATATTCAGTGCACGTGAGGTTGACTATGTTTCAAATCGAACATATTTCGTCTGTTTTAAAGCAAAGCTTTATATGAAAAAATTTTATTTCACATTCCTATTCTTTTTTTTTATAATGAATCATCGTTCTTTGGCGCCTACCATTAGTTAACGACCACCCGATATATTTAAGACGTTTCTCGCCTTGCTGGTATTAATTAAAATTAATAATAGGAAGAGAAACGGAGAGAGGGTTGAAGTGGCTAATCTTTCGCTTTAGTCATAGACGTCCCCGGCATGCGAACACATTTCTATCCGGAGGGTGGCTGGGGGTGGCTCGTCTGCGCAGCTGGTTTCCTCGCCCTGTTGCTCACCACCGGAATGCAGCTCGCTTTTGGATTTCTTCACGTACAGGCCATGCGACGATTCGGCAAGGAACGCCTCATGGACCTGGGTAAGTCCGCACACGTTTCACACCCCCAACAATATTTTCTTTCTCGGTGGTGAAGGAAAAATATTCCATTCAGAGATAATTTTTACTGAAACTCTGAGCTCTAGAATATTTTCCACTCCTGTAAATCTGCTCCATTCTTTCGGTCTCATGAAATACTGACAGAATTTTATAATTTCCTGAACGAAGGTTCTCTTTTTCTTTGGAGAGAGAGATTCACAAGGCTGGAGGTATCCATTAGCCTACTCCCTGACCTCCATCGAGTTATAACACGAGGAGAGTATTAGAGTCGGACGTTAAAAAAGTGGCGAACGGTGGGCCTACCACGGAGAGAGCAGCTTTCGTTCTCTGAAGGCGTGAAATACGGAAGTCCCCGATAAGTCGAGGTTTATTTAAAGTCGACGGAAAAATAATGGCCGTCCCAAGAGGCTCAGGAGAGGAGAAAACGATTCGAAACTCCCCGTCGACGTCGCTGATAGATAGATACCACCGCTGCTGTCTGCGGTGTGCTGCCGGGCTTATCGTTGACCTACTCTACTTAGTTGTCTGGTGTACACATCATAGACGGTCGGGGTTGGCTTGAAAAGTTGTATCGATCGATCGATCGGTGTATTTACGTGGTTTCCAAGCCCGTGAACGGTCGCCACCATGGTAATTTATGGCACCGGAAAAATTACGATATTTTCTCTATAAGGTTAATCTACCGCGACGCCTTCACCTTTGACGCTCGATCAATCTTTGTGTCGGGTACACCGGTTATCGCTTAGTGTGTATCACTTCCGGATATCCTACAGGGATGTTTCCTTGTACGAAACAGCGCGCAATTTACGAAACTTCATGTCACTAATATTATCCTACATTTACTTGATCAAAACGAATCTTGGCTGTACACAGGCACTTCTCTAAATGTATAGTATATCAATCATAATCAGTCATTCCATGAACTATACAGCGTGACAATATACTAAGTTGAAGCCGACGATGTTAAAATGTATTTCAAAAGATTATCTAATATTAGGAATGATTTTACGAAACTTCTAAATGTGCCTTTTAAATTTACCGACACATTCAGATAGGTATTTTGCCAGAAAGACGCGAGCAGCAAAATAAACGAGCTTGAACCTCGTGGCGATGTGTCGGTGGCAAAGGCCGCCGCTTAAAATACTGATTGCGAGCGACATTGAAAAATGTCAGCGCGCATCAACGCATCGCTGCGCGAATCCTTTCCCTCCCGTGTCTCACCCTACTCTAAACTTTCACCCGTAAGGGTATCGGGACGCGAACCCATCGAACTTTTCACTCAAGCCGACGATACGAAACGAACGAGACTTTTCTCTAAGAAGTGGAGACGTTGAATCGAGATACGTGTTTCGCGAATCTTCAAGTGTCACTTCTTGCTTTGGTTCTTTTTCTTGGCTGTTCTGCGTCTTATTTGTTTGAGACGTTTTATACTGAAACCAGATCCGTCATACATATGATTTTGTATACGTTTTAGTTTAAATAAGATGAGACATTAAAAGTTATTATTGAAAGAATTTATAACGTTTATTGATTTCATTTATGGATGTATAGGCTATATACTTAATACTAACATGTTGAATTTGTTATTATAGATTCCTATTACTATTAAAAAGCTAAAATTTTAAATCAATTCATGAGTTTTTTGAAAAATTATAGTGACTTAAAATTTGCATGTACTCTTATGGTAATCAGCAGTAACCCAACGAAAACTTTCTGGTATTTGGTGTGCATGCGCGAAGTTGGAAGAAACAACTGACTTGAGGAAATACAAGCCTAAAAAGTCTGCAATTCTTTACGCTTTTTAGAATATATTTCGATATTTTGAAAAAAAACATTTTTATTTTTGACATAAACTTTTGGGATTGACTGTATAGCCAATACATTCTTAAAAGATTCAATTGCCCATCGAGTTAAAAAGCGAAATTCATTTTTCAATATTAATATGATTAAGTGATGAAAATTGGAACTGAAATCAAGGGAATGAAAAATACTTGAAAAATATTGATTGAAATATTTTTAAGGCAAGCTAGATATGGTTTATTCCCGTTCTGAACATCCGAACGAAATTCGGCTCTATTCCAATTCCGAATATGATCTCGCACGTATCCCGCGAGGATCCCTCATCAGAAACTTAATCACGCGCGCCGCGCCCTGTAACATCTTCCAATTCTGGAAATTTCAAGCTGAACTCAGCCGACAGCACGGGAAAAGAAAACATCACGCGATCTCGCCCGCGGCATTTATTATTTATACAGGCCCCGCGTTTCTTCGGTTGCGAGGCGCACCTGCCGCCTGCTGCGCGACCCGACTGCTGACTTGTGACATTCAATTTCCACCGTGTCCTGCGGAAAATGGAATTTCCTCCCGACCGGCCGAATTCTCGAAGGAAAATTCCTTCCTTCTGTGATCTCGAAAATCGAACGAGTTTTCACATTATTTAAAGCTATTTGATTTGTTTGAATTTTTACAATTTATTATCTCGTCAATTCTACTCGTATAATAGAATAAATAAGACTATATTATAGTGATAAGACATTGACAATAGGAGTTGAGTCTAATGAACTAAACCGTCGCAGAAACAAGCACCACGCTCATCGCCATCGTGTCTACAATTTCCACAATAAACTGTTCGATCCACAAATTGAATCTTGCTCGTTCGATAAGCTGCTTTCACGCTGTCTTTATCGCGTTAGCTCCCGCGATAAAGATACAATGTCACCGTAGCTCGTAGCCTCCCATCGTCTGTAATGCCGCACTCGTGCCCAGACTGTTCCCAAACCTATTACTCGCCTCGTCAATAACTAGTTTACATTTGCAAACAGCAAGATTAAATAAACAGGGAAAAAGTAAATAATGGAAATCATTATTGCGATGTTTCAATTCTAAGGAGTATTGGCCCAATGAAGATGTCTTTGACAATTTTAAGTTTTCCTAACTGGGGACAGTAATTCAATTCACTGCTGGATTAATGTAAGCTAACGTGAGTTCTTCACGGTTAATCGTGTCCCGAATCGATTCGTGGCCAGCATTCGATTATCGACACGCACGTAGCCTCTACGTGAGAAACAGGCTGCGGCTTCCGTGCAGTTTACGTGGATAAATTATTATCGAACGGCTGGTTGCGGTTGAAGCACCGCGCCGATCGACACGAGTTGAAGCCTGATTGAATGTTGATCGAGCAACGTGATCAAACGTTTCGTACAGTGCAATTCTCGCAAATTGTACATCACGCTTAAAACGCTATTCTCTACGATCGTAATTTGTTTCTTTTAGTATTCATTATGTACAATTAGAGTCATAAAATGTGCGTTAGACATGAGAAATACCTCGTCCAGGACGTAACGTTCTACAAAATTCGTAACCGTATTCCTCGCTCGAATAATTTCAGAATTGTCATATGGATAACTAAAAGGCTTGCTAGAAGAAGGAGCAAAGCGAGAGACGAAAGAATCGAAGCAGCTCGAAGAGCTTCTCTGAGGAACAAATTAAAAACTTCGAAGTCGCCTCGTTTGTTCACGCGGAAACTCGTTGCCCGTTGTTGCAAGTTAACGACGTTGTCTAACGTCGTCTATCGATTACGGCCGCTACGCTTCTTCCCGTTATTACGCTGGCTTTGAAACTTCTCCTCTTCTTTACGGCTGCTCTTTCCTTTTTTTCTCCATCGTCCTAGGCAACAACGGGGCTCTCTCGTTCGCTTCCGTACCGCCATATTTACGGCGATCGTTCCGGCGAAGATTGTAAATTATATAGAGCTCGTGTTTCATCGTCGTGCGATGAGCTAGGAGAAAAAAGCCGGCTCGTTAAATATTTGCTGGAACCGGGGGAACGGCCGGCTCGTAAATTGAAAATCACACACCGTAGCTCGAAATTCGCTTCGAGTCCGTCTCTCTTTCGCCCGATGAATTATGAAAATTGCATGAGTGGACCCTGCCAACTCGGGAAACTCGTTAATCCAGAAGTCTGGTTAAATCAGGCTTAATTCGAAGCTCGCGACCTCGCTGTCCCGGATTAATTAGTATTAACCGGGGTCGCGGGACGTCGTTCTATTTCTTTTTTTTCACCCTTCGCCTTTCACTCAAAAAATGCGTTCATTCGAACCGCGTTAATTAATAACGCGCTTTCTTACTTTCCCGCGAACCTTTCTGTAATTCCCAACACAGTGGAGGTCCTTTTTTGTCTCGTTCGGAACAATTGTGTTTTATGTTCACGGTTATGAAATCATGGATACCGTTGAGATCAAATGCATATTTATGCGCACTGATAACGTCGAGAATGGCCACTTATACGGGGCAGTATTTCTCACCAAGTAACTATAAAAATGCTTTAAGAATTCCGTTTTATATTATTACAGCTATTTACAAATTTCGCCATCATAAAACGTGAACCTGTTTTTCATTCTCTTTTAAGTAAGTGAATAAATAAAATTCTGACAATTCTAATTTCTTCCCATCTCGAGAATTCTCTGACACGAAACAAGAGCGACGCAAAATTTATGCTTATTTATCCGCCTACTTTCCAACGCATTTTAGAATATCACCCTTATTGTTAAGAAGCGAACTACAGCCCCCCCTTCATCTGGGGACACGCACGAGCTAAGCACGAGAATAATCTCGCGCAAGGTTGAAAGGCCAAAGATTCAAGGGCGGCTATATAACGTTCACGATCACCATTACAATTTTACTATCGCGACACATAATTCCATGGTGCGACGCTTTTGAGGTGTAAAAAGGCGGAAGCACCTAGCCTACGTTACGTAGTCTGTCGTCGCTGTATGTAGCTTCCTGTAATTACTACGTGTTCTCTAATCGACCATCGTCTTCTGTCCGTTCAAAAAGAGAGGCACCAAATAATCCTTTCACCCTTCCTGTTCGATTTTTTTGAAGATTTCAAAGTACGAGTGTTTTAGTCAAGTATTACAAAAGATTTAATAATTACATGAAAAAGCGTATAGGTGATAGCTTGAAATGCATAGAAAAAAATAT